AGGCTGTATAGATGGAGAAACAGGTAAGTGAAAAGATGATGAAGGTAGGACAGTAGTACACACTGAGGTAGGAACCTGTGTGTACTACCGAGTCCTTGCCTCTGAGGTAGGAACCTGTGTGTACTACCGAGTCCTTGCCTCTAAGGTAGGAACCTGTGTGTACTACCGAGTCCTTGCCTCTGAGGTAGGAACCTGTGTGTACTACCGAGTCCTTGCTTCTGAGGTAGGAACCTGTGTGTACTACCGAGTCCTTGCCTCTAAGGTAGGAACCTGTGTGTACTACCGAGTCCTTGCCTCTGGGGTTCCAACCTCAGAGGCAATGATTGCAAAAGGATCAGACATGATGACTGCAGGAGTAGGTACTACAGAGGTGACTGCAGGAGTAGGTACTACAGAGGTGACTGCAGGAGTAGGGACTACAGAGGTGACTGCAGGAGTAGGTACTACAGAGGTGACTGCAGGAGTAGGTACTACAGAGGTGACTGCAGGAGTAGGTACTACAGAGGTGACTGCAGGAGTAGGTACTACAGAGGTGACTGCAGGAGTAGGTACTACAGAGGTGACTGCAGGAGTAGGTACTACAGAGGTGACTGCAGGAGTAGGTACTACAGAGGTGACTGCAGGAGTAGGTACTACAGAGGTGACTGCAGGAGTAGGTACTACAGAGTGACTGCAGGAGTAGGTACTACAGAGGTGGACTGCAGGAGCCCGGTACTACAGAGGTGACTGCAGGAGCAGGTACTACAGAGGTGGGCTGCAGGAGCAGGTACTACAGAGGTGACTGCAGGAGCAGGTACTACAGAGGTGACTGCAGGAGTAGGTACTACAGAGGTGACTGCAGGAGTAGGTACTACAGAGGTGACTGCAGGAGTAGGTACTACAGAGGTGACTGCAGGAGTAGGTACTACAGAGGTGACTGCAGGAGTAGGTACTACAGAGGTGACTGCAGGAGTAGGTACTACAGAGGTGACTGCAGGAGTAGGTACTACAGAGGTGACTGCAGGAGTAGGTACTACAGAGGTGACTGCAGGAGTAGGTACTACAGAGGTGACTGCAGGAGTAGGTACTACAGAGGTGACTGCAGGAGTAGGTACTACAGAGTGACTGCAGGAGTAGGTACTACAGAGGTGACTGCAGGAGTAGGTACTACAGCGGTGACTGCAGGAGTAGGTACTACAGAGGTGACTGCAGGAGTAGGTATACAGAGGTGACTGCAGGAGTAGGTACTACAAAAGGTGACTGCAGGAGTAGGTTACTACAGAGGTGACTGCAGGAGTAGGTACTACAGAGGTGACTGCAGTAGGTACTACAGAGGGGACTGCAGGAGTAGGTACTACAGAGGTGACTGCAGGAGTAGGTACTACAGAGGTGACTGCAGGAGTAGGTACTACAGAGGTGACTGCAGGAGTAGGTACTACAGAGGTGACTGCAGGAGTAGGTACTACAGAGTGACTGCAGGAGTAGGTACTACAGAGGTGACTGCAGGAGTAGGTACTACAGAGGTGACTGCAGGAGTAGGTACTACAGAGGTGACTATGGCAGTGGGTACTACAGAGGTGACTATGGCAGTGGGTACTACAGAGGTGACTGTGGCAGTAGGTACTACAGAGGTGACTGTGGCAGTAGGTACTAGAGGTGGCTGTGGCAGTAGGTACTACAGAGGTGGCTGTGGCAGTAGGTACTACAGAGGTGACTGTGGCAGTAGGTACTACAGAGGTGACTATGGCAGTGGGTACTACAGAGGTGACTATGGCAGTAGGTACTACAGAGGTGACTATGGCAGTAGGTACTACAGAGGTGACTGTGGCAGTAGGTACTACAGAGGTGGCTGTGGCAGTAGGTACTACAAAGGTGCGAGGACATCAAGCAACTCCGAAGTGTCTAAGACTGGGAAGGTCCTGGAGCTGAAGCTGCTTTATAATATCTGTATAACATGTTACAAAGTCTTGCTGAAGGATGGTGTTGAGAGTCGTGCAACAAGAACTGAGAGAAGAATGTTTATCTGTAATGAGAGAAGTGTCATGAGTGGGGCTAAAAAGAGAAATACAACAAGCTTGCTCAGTGTTCTGTACAGGAGCAATACATACACCATTCTCGAGAACATGACATGACGTTCCATGGAACATGGAACTATTTAACATCTTAACAGAAGATATCAGAAACACGGCTGAAACAAGTGTAGAAGCCTTCAAGAGGAAACTGGGCAATTATCTTCACCAGGTGCCAGATCAACCAGGCTGTGATGTATATGTGGGACAGCAGGCCTCCAGCAGCAACAGCCTGGTTGACCAGGCAAGCACCAGATGAGCCCGGTCCATGGCTGGACTCCAAGAGTAGTGAAACTCGTGAAAGTCTTCAAAGGTACATCAAAGGTAAAGGTATATTCCCAAACAGCAGTAAACCCATAGGGGTTTTGCATTGGACAAAAATCACAAAATTTAATATTTGGGTAAAATCTGTAGATTTTACTGCAGACTGGTGAAGGCACTCTCTCCACTAGTGCTACAACTATTTGTTACAAATTCCAGGAAAATCAGTGGGCCTATAGTCACTGTCCTTCAAATAGAGCAAGTTTAATATTAATAGGCATTATTATTGAAAAGATGTACGATAAATACTACAATGGTGTCAAGTATGAGCATACCGACTCTGCAACTTCTGACCTGTATACCTGCCGTTGATATAATGTTTCTTGAGGTAAAAGTGCCGGGTAACTTAGTGTATCTAGTGACTCGCAAAACTATAATAACACGACTGTAAACAAATCAGAGAACGGATGAATGTTATTAGCCAGCTGGCCAAGTAGTTAACACACTGGCCTCTTGAGTTTTATCACTTGCTTGCCATGGGCCCAAACCTCACCCAGTCCATGATTTATTTAGTGTGTGAAGGCTGAACCTTACCATCTTTAACATAAGAACATAAGAACATAAGAACGAAGGAACACTGCAGAAGGCCTACTGGCCCATGCGAGGCAGGTCCAAGTCCCTACCGGCTTAAGCCAATCCCACCCAACCTAGTCAGGTCAGGTCACATTGACTTAAGGGAGGAACACGGCAACCGACCTGTTAGCACAAGCTATCAGGTCCAACTCACACCCACCCACATCTACTCATGTATTTATCCAACCTATTTTTAAAGCTACACAACGTTCTGGCCTCTATAACGGTACTTGGGAGTTTTTTCCCACTCATCCACAACTCTATTACCAAACCAGTACTTTCCTATATCCCTCCTGAATCTGAATTTTTCCAACTTAAAAACCATTGCTGCGAGTCCTGTCTAGGCTAGACATTTTCAGCACACTATTTACATCCCCTTTATTTATTCCTGTCTTCCACTTATAAACCTCAATCATATCCCCCCTAATTCTACGTCTTTCTAGAGAGTGCAGTTTCAGGGCCCTTAGTCTATCCTCATAGGGAAGGTTTCTGATACATGGGATCATCTTTGTCATCCTCCTTTGTACATTTTCCAGAGAATTTATATCCATTCTGTAATACGGTGACCAAAACTGTGCAGCATAATCTAAATGAGGCCTAACCAAGGATGTATAGAGTTGAAGAACAACCTGAGGACTCCTATTATTTATGCTTCTTGATATGAAGCCAGGATTCTATTAGCTTTATTGCGAACACTTATGCACTGTTGTCTTGGTTTTTAGATTACTGCTAACCAGAACTCCTAAATCTTTTTCGCAATCCGTAATATTAAGATCTACATTATTTAGTTTATATGTGGCATGGTTATTGTCCTGTCCAACATTTAGAAAATTTGCATTTGTCTATATTAAACTGCATCTGCCACTTCTCCGACCACTGCATCAGTCTATTCAAATCCTCCTGGAGTGCTCGAATGTCCTCGTCAGAATGAATTCGACGGCCTATTTTGGTGTCATCGGCAAACTTGCCGATGTCGCTCTTTATGCCCTCATCTATGTCTTTTATGTAGTTTTGTGAACAGCAGGGGGCCCAACACTGCCCCCTGTGGAACACCGCTCGTGACGCTTCCCCATTTCTGATTTCTCCCCATTTATGCAAACTCTCTGCTGCCTATTTGTCAACCATCCCTCTATCCAGGAAAAAATTTTCTCCTCTATTCCATGTGCTTTAATTTTTCTAAATTTAGTCCTGATGTGGGACCCTGCCCAAAAGCCTTACTGAAGTCCATATACACAATATCATATTCATTACCATGATCTACCTCCTCAAATACCTTAGTGAAAAAAAGTTAATAAATTCGTAAGGCAGGAACGCCCCTTTGTAAAACCATGCTGAGATTCGTTGTTTAAATTTTATGCTTTTCAAGGTGGCTACAACTGCTCGGCAATTATTAAATTCCATTAAATTTTTCCCCCACTATGGAGGTTAGGCTTATTGGTCTATAGTTCGAAGCTAAGGACCTGTCACCTGTTTTGAAATAGGTATCACATTTGCCATTTTCCACTTATCTGGCACCATGCCGTTTGTAGTGATATGTTAAAAGATTAGCCCAAAGGTGTGCTAAGCTCCTCTTTACATTCCTTTAGAACCCTTGCATACAGTTCATCAGGGCCTGGGGATTTGTTAGGTTTTAATTTATCTATTTGGGCCCAAGGACCATGTCACTTGTGACCCTTTAAAAGTGCACAGTTTATTATCGTCCTGTTCTACATAATTTATCATTACTGGAAAATCGCTGGTATCCTCCTGTGTAAAAACTGAGGGGGAAGTATGTTTAAAAATTCTACACATTTCCTTATCACTGTCAGTGAGCTGACCCGAGGAACTTTTGAGTGGGCCTATCTTGTCCCTGATCTTACTTCTGTATACCTGAAAGAATCCTTTGGGTTAGTCTTCGATTCTCTTGCAACTTTACCTCATAATCTCTATTTGCTTTTCTAATTCCCTTTTTTATTTCTCTCTTTAACTGAATATATCGATTTCTTAATTGCCCCTCTCCTTTTTGATTTGCCTATATATGCCTCTCTTTTGACCAATCAGATATTTTAATTTCTATTGTTCATCCATTTAGGATCATTTTTGTTTGATCTGATTTCCCTATTTGGAACATAATTTGACTGAGCAGCTAGAACTATGCCCTGGAAAGCATCATATCGGCAACCATCACCACCTACCTGACCCCTAGTCAGGTCATTCCAGTTCAGCCCCCCTAAGTAATTTTTCAGTCCTATGAAATCAGCCAAGCGAAAGTCAGGGACGGAGACTTGATTGCCATTATTAGGGGAATTCCATGCTATGTTAAAACTGAGTGATTTGTGATCACTCTCCCCAAGCTCATCATTAACCTCAAGATTATTAATTAGTGTTTCCCTACTGGCAAGAACCAAGTCAAGGAGGTTATTTCCCCTAGTTGGCTCTGTCACAAACTGTTTTAAAAAACAATCCTGGATCGTATCAAGAAATTGACAAAGTACACAAGTGTCAACAAAAACAGTAGCATACAGGTGCCAGTGAAGGAACTTACCTATTCACTGCCTGGTGCTCCATATACCTGTAGTTTGCTTCAAGTGCACTTGTAGCCACAAACATCACAGACAGGTCTGAAGCATCGACAAAAACAGTTGTAGTATACAGGTACCTGTGAAACAACTTACCTAAACACTGCCTCCCATCATGCATAATGGTGATTACAAAGACCCCTGGCTGTCTTCAAGAGAGCTAGACAGGCACCTAAAATCAGTACCTGACCAGCCAGGCTGTGATTTGTACATTTGTTTATGTGTTGCCAGCAGTAACAGCCTGGATGATCAGGCCCTGATCCACCATGAGGCCTAGCCATGGATCAGGCCACTGACCCCAGGAACACCCACCAGATAGTGCTACCACCTGGCGTTTCACACGCATGTAGTACGTCTTCCTGACAAATTTACAGCTAAGCATCACTGGTAGCTGCTAAATATCAACAGTCTGGTTTGCTAAGTCCAATTCCATTACAATATTCGGAGGAGATAAACCAGTGTTGTTCAACACTGTGTCGGAAGATGCATCTGCCATATGCTGCAGGAGAGTAGAGTCAACACAAGTAGCACTTCAAAATGAGTTGTTGCAACTAGTTAAAATTTGCACCTTTGTTGTATGTACTGTTTCTTGTAGCTTCCATGTGATGGTAGTGAGCAAGTTATGGAGAGTTTGTGTACTGAATACATACTTTGTGCAGGTTGAGAAGGGTAGTCAGAATAGTCAAATAGTGGAGATGTTAAACGTAAAGTGTGCCTGCTGTCTGGCAGATGTACTACCAGCATACCTGATACTACTCAGACTGGTGCCAGGTGTTTCTCCATGACGTGTGTACTTTATGTACAAGAAGCATGTACTGTACAATAAGTCATCACAAGAGTACAGTTCTGTCACAGCCATCAGTGATGGCAAATAGATGGCAATGCCATAGCCATCAGTGATGATAGATGGTAGCATCACAACCATCAGTGATGATAGATGGGAACCAACATGGTTCTGCTGGGAAAATAAGTACCTTTAGTTACTAACTCCAACCAACGGTACTGCCGCTGCCACCGCCACCACTGCCAGCAGTCTAGCAGAAGCAGACAGTACTGCAAGAAAGTGCAACAATAGTGTGAGCAGCACATGTCTAGCCTAGGTCAATAGGCCTGCTGCAGTACCAGTCCACTACGTGTTACAAAACAGTCTTCATAAATTTCATGTCAGAGGCCCAAAAAAATCTGGAAAGGAAATACGAATTAGAAGAAATCAACTGTTTTCAAGACCGACAGGCGCATCTGTACTTGAGTCTTGAGCGTTCACACTTGTCAAAGACCCATACTTTAAGACTCAGCATTATCAAGCCAACTTTGGCTCAGTTAAAGAGATCAAAGAAGACTTTACAATCTGATGTCTTGTGTGATAACTGCCTCGTATGATAACTATGATATTCACTGAATAATTCTCTCTGGCAGTCACTGCATAATTATTCCTGAGGGGTAATCTGCTTGATAACTGACCAATTACTTTGATAATTTAGTGGTCATTATGCTTGATAATTTATCCTGCCTGATAATTCATTAGTTTGGTAATAATTACAATTATTCCACACCTCAACACCTCCCTCATGATATTAAATGTCAATTTTTCAAATTATTTTTTGAAGCCTATTTTTTTTTTTTTTTGTGTGTGTGTGTGTGTGTGTGGGGGGGGGCGAGTGCTAGACCTGTAGGAGCTGCTCAGTGCCCCAGGCATGGCTCAAGGGGGCAGCTGCACTCCCTGGGGTTAAGAGCACCTGGCCAGGATGACCTCAGGGTTGGGAGGGAAGGTCCTTTATCAATAAAAACTTGATAAGAATTTTTATAATACTCATCAAGACTTTGATCTGAACAAAGAACCTGTAAATTGTGGTTCTAAGTCGTGGTTCTGTTGTGGGGTTCGTGAGGAGATACTGGAGTAACACATACATACGTTGGATGTCTTGGAGGCATATAATTAAGAGAGTCTTGAGAAGCCGAGGAGCCTGCTTGACCAGTGTATGCCTAGCGGGAACTGACCACAATGCCTCTGGCCTACTGTTTACATGTGATGGGTTTCGTGATGTCATGGCTAGCAAGGGAGCATATCTATAAAGTAGCTGGGATTATCTAAGTATACTACACAGTACACAGTAACACTACTGACAGTTCTAAGTCATGGTTCTGATTGTAAGTCATGGTTCTAAGTCATTTTTCTGACTAAGTCATGGTTCCCACCTACAGAACTGTAACATCCTCACTCATCTTTCAGAGTACTGGCACTGTACTTCCCACCTCCAAATTGTAACATTCTCATTCATCCTTCAGAGTACAGGCACTGTACTTCCCACCTCCAGTACTTACAGCTAACTATTACCTTGCTCACACTTCAACTCATTCAAATACTCCAATAAATAACAAAAAGAGGCACAATACCGTGACTGGAACGATACACAAATAACCCACACATAGAAGAGAGGAGCTTACGACGACATTTCGGTCGGACTGAAACGTCATCGTAAGCTCCTCTCTTCTATGTGCGGGTTATCTGTGTATACTCCAATAGCATGTTAAATCCCCAGAACTACTGATCTTCACTCACTCCTAACATGACCATATATGTGTACTGGGCACCCAAGCCTCTACCACCCGCAGACTACTACCTTCCACAAAGGTAGGCTGACAGTAATACCTTGGGGTACTGTAAGGCCTTGTGTCACCTATACACTACAAAGTCGAGGACACCTTTACTCTAAAACTGATACCAGTAAACTTTTAGTACAGATCAACATCTCTTAGTGGTAGTTTACTTAGCAAGAGATAACTCTCAGTATACAGTGTGTATACTGAGACCTTAGTGTATGTACTCCCATACACACCTCTCAGTGTATCAACAAACGATTGCAGTCACAATGAGACATACACATACACACCTGTGCATATTAAACTGACTTCGTGTGTATAAAGTGACACATACACACTTCTCAGGGATACTGTATAAATGGTTTTGAAAACTGACAAGTTATTGAATGCAACACTGATGCGACTTTATTGTATAAATGTCTGACCAGTTAGTAAGTTACAAGTCCATATAGAGAAGAACAGTGGAAGATGAGAAGTTTGACGGAGTGAAGATATCAACTCCAGGATGAGGAACTGATCATCTCAAACTTATCATCATCTTCCATTATTCTCCTCTGTATTGGACTGCAGAAGCCACTGTGTGTTCAAACATTTCCACAATTAAGCAACTCAAATGTTACATTTAACACTAGTGAGTAATGATCAGTGTGGTTACAAAAATAATTGAAACTCTTCAATAATTTTGAGAGAGATGTGGAGTTAATCGTCACTCTGAACAACTCTCTTATATACTCTTTTAAAGACTAAATATGTTGGTGCTCTTATTAGAGACTTTCCAAGAGACTGGAAAGAAATTACCTCAGTGGTAGTACCGACTTAATTCTTCCTCTCTTGGTCTTGGCCAACATTTTGATCAAGCTTCAACTTTAACTTGGCGCCTCTACTATTCTTCTTGTGCTACCCACCATTCCCAGTTTAAATCTCTTCTTCAAACCAACACCGAATTCTTCGCCAAGAGCCCCTCCGACCTTCGTAAAACTATTATTGAGATCTTCAAGCACCTCACGAAGCGCTCAAGTCTTCGTCCGCTTCACCAAGAGCCCCTCCGACCTTCTGTAAACACGATAATGACCGAGATCTTCAAGTGCTTTGTGAACTGTTCAAGTCTTGGACGCCATTAAAAGTGGAGACTAGAGTGTAGCGTCTTGGGTACAAGGCGTAGTGCAGCGCTCCCTAATGAACCCCGGCCACTGCTTCTACTCTTCTCAATCACTACCATCTCTTATCTTCCAATATTCACCATTACTTCATTCTTCAAGCCTTGGGATGACAAAAAAAAATAATGTTAATTTTCTGTTTATTTTATGCTGCATTAAACCACAAATATCTGTCCTTGTACATATTTAGAAGTTAAGGTAGTCTGAAAAACACGCTTGATACAGTGCTCTCTACGCACCATGTTGAAGGCAGTGCCCTCTATGACTCCCTCACCCCTAGCTTAGGGTAGTGCCCTCTACGACACTCCCTCATACATAGCTTAGGGTAGTGCCCTCTATGACACTCTCCCTCATACCTAGCTTAGGGTAGTGCCCTCTACGGCACTCCCCCCTCACATCCAGCTTAAGGTAATGTCCTCGATGACTCTCTCCTCATACAAACATACAAACACACACACCACACACACACACACACACACACACACACACCTTCACTCACAATAAACAAAGAGGCTGCAGACCAAATTAGATGAGGTATTGGTCTTTCCTGGACCATTTGGGTTACACCTGCCTTATTTCATGGTCCAGAATGAACTAACACATCCTCTAGTTGACTCAACAATGTACCAGTTATTTGTGAATTGTTCCAGTCAGTATTGTGAGTTTTCCCAAAATTCACATTTAAACTCAATAATTCCCATGTTAATAATATTAACAAACACTCCTGAATTAGACATGAGTACTGGCAAAAACCTTTACAAATACATAACCAAAATATTTATATTTTGTCAGCCAGTTTACATAGTTAAATGCACAAGAACAATCTTCAAAATTAAACCTTATTCTGAGTGTATATAGTGTTTATATCAGGACTGTAGAAGCTTACATAACACAAACCTGAGAGTTTATGTACCATCTTGCTACCAGAGTCTTACCAAGTGGTACTGGAGATGTCTACCAGTCTTACCAAGTGGTACTGGAGATGTCTACCAGTCTTACCAAGTGGTACTGGAGATGTCTACCAGTCTTACCAAGTGGTACTGGAGATGTCTACCAGTCTTACCAAGTGGTACTGGAGATGTCTACCAGTCTTACCAAGTGGTACTGGAGATGTCTACCAGTCTTACCAAGTGGTACTGGAGATGTCTACCAGTCTTACCAAGTGGTACTGGAGATGTCTACCAGTCTTACCAAGTGGTACTGGAGATGTCTACCAGTCTTACCAAGTGGGACTGGAGATGTCTACCAGTCTTACCAAGTAGTACTGGAGATGTCTACCAGTCTTACCAAGTGGTACTGGAGATGTCTACCAGTCTTACCAAGTGGTACTGGAGATGTCTACCAGTCTTACCAAGTGGTACTGGAGATGTCTACCAGTCTTACCAAGTAGTACTGGAGATGTCTACCAGTCTTACCAAGTGGTACTGGAGATGTCTACCAGTCTTACCAAGTGGTACTGGAGATGTCTACCAGTCTTACCAAGTGGTACTGGAGATGTCTACCAGTCTTACCAAGTAGTACTGGAGATGTCTACCAGTCTTACCAAGTGGTACTGGAGATGTCTACCAGTCTTACCAAGTAGTACTGGAGATGTCTACCAGTCTTACCAAGTGGTACTGGAGATGTCTACCAGTCTTACCAAGTAGTACTGGAGATGTCTACCAGTCTTACCAAGTGGTACTGGAGATGTCTACCAGTCTCACCAAGTAGTACTGGAGATGTCTACCAGTCTTACCAAGTAGTACTGGAGATGTCTACCAGTCTTACCAAGTAGTACTGGAGATGTCTACCAGTCTTACCATGTAGTACTGGAGATGTCTACCAGTCTTACCAAGTACTGGAGATGTCTACCAGTCTTACCAAGTACTGGAGATGTCTACCAGTCTTACCAAGTACTGGAGATGTCTACCAGTCTTACCAAGTACTGGAGATGTCTACCAGTCTTACCAAGTACTGGAGATGTCTACCAGTCTTACCAAGTACTGGAGATGTCTACCATCTTACCAAGTACTGGAGATGTCTACCAGTCTTACCAAGTACTGGAGATGTCTACCAGTCTTACCAAGTACTGGAGATGTCTACCAGTCTTACCAAGTACTGGAGATGTCTACCAGTCTTACCAAGTAAATGGAGATGTCTACCAGTCTTACCAAGTACTGGAGATGTCTACCAAGTCTTACCAAGTACTGGAGATGTCTACCATCTTACCAAGTACTGGAGATGTCTACCAGTCTTACCAAGTACTGGAGATGTCTACCAGTCTTACCAAGTACTGGAGATGTCTACCAGTCTTACCAAGTACTGGAGATATCTACCAGTGTTACCAAGCATTGTAGATATCTACCAGTGTTACCAAGCATTGTAGATAACTACCAGTGTTACCAAGCATTACAGATATCTACCAATATTACCAAGCATTGTAGATATCTACCAGTGTTACCAAGCATTGTAAATATCTACCAGTGTTACCAAGCACTGCAGATATATACCAGTGTTACCAAGTATTGGAGATACCTACCAGTGTTACCAAGTACTGCAGATATCTACCAGTGTTACCAAACACTGCAGACATCTACCAGTCTTACCAAGCACTGCTGATATCTACCAGTGTTACCAAACACTGCAGATATCTACCAGTCTTACCAAGCACTGCAGATATCTACCAGTGTTACCAAGCATTTGAAACAATTCACGAGATGTGACGAAGCAGTCAAAGGTGACACTTGAAGCCTGGTAGCGACCCAGTCTCTGGTTGCCCAGCCAGTGATGCCCAGAGTGGGCACTCACAGTAACATAATACCCTCATCACACAACACAGGAAGATGACAAAAAAACTTTCTCTCCAAACTACTACAAAACATATGAAGTACGACTTAAAAAACTGTACTTCATGGGAGGTTGGTAAGAAGGTTACAAATTATCGTGCAATAATAAGTGTTTTGTGGTTTCCGATATTGACATTGTTGTGGTGGTCGAGGGGGAAGCACTAAACATGTACAAGTTCACTCAGTACCAGGGGAATGGGAGGTAATTAAGCTTGATGGCTGTTAAGGGGGCAAGTAACATGTACACAACCAGTCGAGGTCACTAATACTGGTAATGGCGATTAAAACACTCATTGTATGTATGCACACACAGGAGCTAGGACTCGACCCCTGCAACCTCAACTAGGTGAGTACACACACACAATGTATACTGTACCTCTGTATATAGAGTCAGGCGAGAAGAAACGTGGTATACCTTAATACATAACATAATAAACACACACACACAATATACCTTAATACGTAACAAACACACACAATATACCTTAATATGTAACATAATAAACACACACACACACACAATATATATAAGAGAGAGAGAGAAGAGAGAGGAGAGAGAGAGAGAGAGAGAGAGAGAGGAGAGAGAGAGAGGAGAGAGAGAGGAGAGAGAGAGAGAGAGAGAGGAGAGAGAGAGGAGAGAGGAGAGAGAGAGAGGAGAGAGAGAGGAGAGAGGAGGAGAGAGAGAGGAGAGAGAGAGGAGAGAGAAGAGGAGAGAGAGAGAGAGGAGAGAGAGAGGGAGAGAGAGAGGAGAGAGAGAGGAGAGAGAGAGGAGAGAGAGAGGAGAGAGGAGAGAGAGAGGAGAGAGAGAGGAGAGAGAGAGGAGAGAGGAGAGAGAGAGGGAGGAGAGAGAGAGGAGAGAGAGAGGAGAGGAGAGGAGAGAGGAGAGAGAGAGAGGAGAGGAGAGGAGAGGAGAGGAGAGAGAAGAGAGAGAGAAGAGAGAAGAGAGAAGAGAGAAGAGGAGAAGAGTAGAAGAGAGAAGAGAGAAGAGAGAAGAGAGAAAGAGAGAAGAGAGAAAAGAGAAAGGAAGAAAAGAGAAAAGAGAAAGAGAGAAGAAGAAAGAGAGAAAAGAGAAAAGAGAAAAGAGAAAAGAGAAAAAAGAGAAAAAGGAAAAGAGAAAAGAGAAAAGAGAAAAGAGAAAAGAGAAAAGAGAAAAGAGAAAAGAGAGAAAAAGAGAAAAGAGAGAAAAGAGAAAAGAGAGAAAAAGAGAAAAGAGAGAAAGAGAAAGAGAGAAAAGAGAAAAGAAGAGAAAAGAGAAAAGAGAGAAAAGAGAAAAGAGAAAAGGGAAAAGAGAAAAGAGAGAGAAAAGAGAAAAGAGAGAAAAGAGAAAAGAGAAAAGAGGAAAAAAGAGAGAAAAGAAAAAGAGAAAAGAGAAGAAAAGAGAAAAGGAAGAGAAAAGAGAAAGAGAAAAGAGAAAAGAAGAGAAGAAAGAGAGAGAGAGAAGGAAGGAAAGAGAAAAAATAACGAGAAAGAGAAAAGAGGGAAAAGAAGAGGGAGAGAGAGAGGGAGGGGGGGCAAATGTCAAAAATACCACACTTGAGATCCACTTCGAGGACAGCAGTGGAAACAAGCTTTTATGCACAAGAGGGCAGAAAGCAGCAACTACTTGCTGTACCCTTCTCCAGAACATCACTCAATTCTGAGATCATACATAACCCAGAATGACTCAGTATGGAACACATTCGTACAGCATAATGATGTCAAGATAACGTCAGTTGATCAAATGAAAATGCTTGCCCCACAGATGGCTCCAACCTTATCGTTCCCTACTTGTAGCTATAACAATAAAAATGCTCAAATGAGCTGATGAGGTAAAGCTTTAGCTATGCCAATAAGTTAGGAATCTTTAACCTGCAAATAGCTTGTCAATAAAGCTAGGGATCCTTAACCTTGTCAAACCCTGTGTAAAAAAAAAAAAAAAGGGGGGGGGGGGTTGCAAGAGTTGTAACATCATGAAGGAAGACTTCCTTCATGAGAGTTCTAAGACTTCCTTCATGAGAGTTCTAAGACTTCCTTCATGAGAGTTCTAAGACTTCCTTCATGAGAGTTCTAAGACTTCCTTCATGAGAGTTCTAAGACTTCCTTCATGGAGGTTCTAAGACTTCCTTCATGAGAGTTCTAAGACTTCCTTCATGAGAGTTCTAAGACTTCCTTCATGAGAGAAATGAGTAAACTTGTAATAGCACTTTCCCCTGACTGTGTATATTTTATCAGTGTAAATGTATACTAAAACATTTTCTCTATACACAGGGGTACACATCTCAGTACGTATAAAGAAATACACCAGTTTTAATGTCTATACACAAAGCTACACCTCTCAATATATATACACACTCCTGTTGGTGTATATATACAGAAGTACACCTCTGGCTGTATTTTACAGATATACCACCCTCATACAACCACCACAGTAATACTTCAGAAATACAACAATACAAGACTACCAGCCTTCCCAACCTGCCATGAAATACATCATACAACTGCATTATACAAAACAGGTCTAAAATACTGCATATGGACACAATTAATGCCCTGGGGACTCATCTTTCTGGGGATCAAAATAAAAAATATTTCTCTAGGGGTGAGAGCTTAACCCACAGGGGCTGCTCATGGATAGGGGGGGGCTGAGCCAAGTGCAGACAAGCTCTGGTTCCTTGAATTAAAATCCCTCCTGTTGTAGAGGATGTCTGGCAGCTTACTTAACACTGTTGGCACTGTTGTTCACTGAAGTTCAATTCTGTTCAGTGAACTTGAAAATACAACAAGTTTTGTTCACTGATCTCGAAGACATAAGTTTTAATACTGTGGTGTTATCATACAGGCATAAAGCTCACACACAGACCAAAAATCAAACTGGGAGACCAAACAGTCTGAGTGCTTGTGGTACGGTCAAGGACCCTAGTGAAGCTCTCTCTTGTTCCACAGCTGTTATTATTCCACTCATGAGTAGAGCTTTGCCAAGACACGAGCAAGCTTTCTGCAAAATTCAGTTACAATTTATAAAGCTTACTCAGAAGTTAAATCTGAAGACGGTCTAAGATCGTCATGACCGACATTCCTGGCCAGTTACATACAGTAGATTGGTCCAGTCAACTTTGTTATAAAGCACCTCCATATGCCTCTATTAAGCTCCTCTGTACACAGTCAGTTCTCTTATTGAGCTCCTTTGTATACAGTCAGTTCTCTTAGCTTTATAAGGACTGACTGTATATAGAGGAGCTTAATAAGAACTGGCTGTATTCAGATAACCTTTGTAAGAAAACTGACTGTATAAAGAGGAGTTTAATAACAGGGATGACTGGATACAGAGGAGCTTTATAACAGAACTGACTTAATATAGACACAAAGAAAGGGGATATGTATGGACTTGATTAACTCCCTGTAATTTTGTTTAATTCACTGTTTGACTCGCTGTTCAACTCCCTGTTTGAGTTACAAGTGTGTTTTGAGATGCACCTGTTCACCACACGTCTACCTCAAGATCAGAACACTGCAATAACTACACCTATGTCTAATGTCTCGCATCTACACCACTCAAAACCTCTATCCCACTTTGACAGCGGGATAAATCTAGCCAGTAACACTTCTCAAAATGTCTATCCCACTCTGACAATGGGATAAATGTAGCCATCAAAGGCTTAACACACACATCAACACATCAATACCGGCTGTTGCGACCTGAAAGACAATAAGATTTACCAATACAAGTGTCATCCAAACTTTGCCTTACATGCAAATAATATTTTAAAACTATAACAATAATACACATTTTAATACTATAACAATAATACATGTTTTAATACTAAGAATATAATACAAGTTCTGATACTAAGAATATAATACAAGTTTTAATACTACAACAATAATACAAGTTTTGATGCTACAGAAATAACACACGTTTCAAAACTACGTAAATGCGCCCCATACACATCACCAGTTATGTGGAGATACAGTCAGTTATCTTGTATAGAAAGTTGTGTATACATGTGCTCCTTGCTTTATGATGGTTTGACTTAACTATGGTGCTATAACCATGGTGATAGCAAGCCTCCACACTGTAGTCATCACCAGTGTAAACATCTCTTTCATTTACTTTTCAATACAGCCTCTCCTCACTTAGCGATGTACTCTTTTACTGACTCGGACTAACAACTGGCTCTCTGACCAGTATGCATACCTAAATAATGCATATTACAGTTGATTTCCTCTATTGTGTTTAACTCTTTCACTGTTTCGGCCGTATATGTCTTATGAGCCGATGTTTCTGACGTATTAATACATTCTAGCGGCGCACACTGATCATGGGTCTCCATGGCCAGTGTGCACACTATAAAAAACATCGGAGAGCCAGTGGTGCATTGTGGGAATGCCATTTCGGCAGTCCTTGTTCAGCTTGCCTAGCGGTAATAAATATCCAACTCCCCGGTGAATCTGGGCCACTTCTCTTACCAAGTGATAAATCCAACAGAGGGAAGTGTCAGGGAAGACAAATTTCATGGTTTTGAGGAGTTTGTGACCGAAAGCAATGCCCAGGATACCAGAAGAAAGAAAGAGAAAGAAGGTGAAAGAAAGAGAAAAATGCTTTCAAATGAGCTAATGTAGGTAACAGCTCTTAGCTTGTCAATAAAGCTAGGAATCCTTAACCTGTAAATAGCTTGTCAATAAAGCTAGAGATCCTTAACCTGTAAATAGCTTGTCAATAAAGCTAGGAATCCTTAACCTGTAAATAGCTTGTTAATAAAGCTAGAGATCCTTAACCTGTAAATAGCTTGTCAATAAAGCTAGAGATCCTTAACCTGTAAATAGCTTGTCAATAAAGCTAGAGATCCTTAACCTAACCTCGTCAAATCCTGTGTAAAAAAAAAGACAAGGAGAAAGAAAGAGAAAAAGAGAAAGAAGAAGAAAGAAGGAGAAAGAAAGATAATTAGCTAGGAAGGATGGTAGGGAAGCAAGAATCAGACCCCATTGCGTTGACAGGTGGTAGGGGGGAGTGAGTAATGATATAATGTCATTTTGACAGCTGCCAGACCCTGACTCAGCACATTTAGAAGTCCCCACACACAACACACACACACACACACACACACACACACAACACACACACACACACAACACACACACCACACACACACACAACACACACACACACAACACACACACACACACAACACCCCAAACACACACAACACAACACACACACACACAACACACACACAACACCACAACAACACACACAAAACACACATGCGCACACACACACAAGCACACACACACAACACACAACACACACAGCACACACACACACCACTCACACACACACACACACACACACAAAACACACAACACAGCACAAAACACACAACACAACACACACAACACACACACACAAAACACACCACAACACACCACACCACACACAAAACACAACACACAACACACACAACACCAAACACACAACACACACACACACACAACACACACAGTTTCTGAAGATAATAGCAGTTCTGTGAAAGTGTCCAGTGACTATATACATGTGTATATATATT